TTTTCAGACAGATATGTTAGTTGCTTTCATTTCCTTATTAATTTTTTTAAGATAAGGTGAAATCATTTTGTGTGCTGTTATATTTGCTTTAGTAATAAAACCAAAAAATACGGATAAAGCAACATTTCATTTCTATGTAATTAGATGGTAAATCTCAGACACACACATGCAAGCATGGAGGATCACTGTTGGAACCGGTTAATGTCTAAATTCAATCACTGAATTAACAGCTTGTCATATGCGTTTGTTTTCTAAAGTTTAAATAAAAATGATGCATTTCAAATAATTATTTAGATGGACTCAAAATATGTTTTCACATTCTTAAAAACCTTTAACATTCTTAATAATTTGAGATAATTTCTAATTAAACCTTCCAGTACTTCTAGGATGCTAGTATTTTAAAATACTATTTACGTCCCAAGTTAGTTACTTGTCTTACAGATAAGCTTTAAGTGCAGTTGAACATTGACTTTTCGCATATTGTTTTTGAGTAAACTTTAGATTAGTTATTCCTGTATAAGCATAAAATAAAGTGTATGTCAAAAAAGAATTTGTAATGGATTATTTCATTTTTAATTTGCTATTCTTATTGTTGAATGTTTTTACAGTATTATATAATTCATTTTTTCAGTTATTTTTCAGATTCTATAATCTTTATTTCTTAGTAAACTATAACATTAACTTATATTTTGTTAAGTAAATATATCTCTTTTGGTGTTTTTATCAAGACTTGAAAATTTCAGAGGAATAAAGGGGAGAAATATACTGTATATCTTTTGTCCTTAGGTATCAATGAATGTCCTTGACACATACTCCCCCCCCCGTGAGTCATAATAAAGTGTGATTTTTTAAACAGCGTGGATCCCGAGAGGAGGCTTGCTCAGCCTATAGCTGAGTAACAGATACCTTTACTTTGGAATTAACAAGGAATGTAATTTGTAAGAAGTTATAGAGTTTCTTTACTAAACTTCACCTTAGTTTACTACACGCAGGTTCCTCCTTTTCCGCAGGAACAGGGTTATTTTGTTAAGCATGGCGTGTATGTTGATGGATATGTAAGTATATCTTTTGATTGACTCTGAACAGTTTCTTGTTTTATTTCTTAACCTGTGCTGTCCAGGTGGCGCCATTGAGATGTTTCATGTGCGTCAGGAGCAGGGGCCTAGAAGATGCGGGCAGTGTCATTACACAGTACATCATAAGTGATCCAGCTTTGGCACAGCCGGAGATTACTTTGGTTTTGAATTAATCTGAATGACCCCAGCTTTATTGCTGTGGAGTTTTCTAGAAATGATAAAATGTCAAGTCATTGGAAATGAAACGGCAGAACCCAAACAATCTGACATGACTAATGCTTAGTTTCTCTGACTTGTTTCATAGTCTGTAGGCTTTTTACCCACTACGATATTTTATTGAGAAATTCTTGTCTTAATAAATGTGTCTCCCACCTTACTAAAATGAATTTCTGCTATGTAAGGAACAGGAAATACAGGGCTCTGCCTATGTGGGTCTTACGTACACCAAGACCTCAAATCTCTGCATAAGAAAGATGTATGTGGGGAATCACTCTTTTACTTCTATTATATCTTAATTTTGGTAGGGCATGTTATTGGAATACTACTCAGTCAATCCTTTTTTGGACAAGGTTACTATTTCAATTTATCATACATTTTCCAATGCCATTAAATAATGAAATTTTCAGGCATATTGTATGCTCACAAAGTTTTAAGAAACAGCTGTTGAGCTTATACTGATAGAATACTCCAAGAAATAGCTGTCTTCACATTTATTGCTATTGGCCTCATAAAATTTGCTTTCATAAAACAAAGTTCGTATCTCGGCATACTGTTTTGAAAATGGTGGTGGTGAGGGCTCTTTCGTCTAGAGCGTGCATTATCTGATGTTCTTCTGGTTACCTTTCAGAGTTTTAAAAATGCTTCTGACATTGGAGGCTCTCAATTCTGGCCGAACTCTTCACCTTCACTCACCATGATTCCTAAGTGATGACACCAGACAAGATTATTTCCCTTGATTTTTGATGCTTTTATTTTTGCTTTGAAATGTTCAAATGGAAAGCTAAGGCACAAACCTCACTTGAAATTGTCCCCCTTGATCAGATAGAGGAAGCAGAAATAGGCAAACATTTTTAAAGTCGGATGCCCATATTTTTCTGAAGATTCCATTCAATACCCACTCCGGACTCACACCCCAGGGGGGCACCACCGTGCCCACCCCGCACTGCCGGTGGCCTTGTTTGAAATCTAGAATCCATTGGACTTGACAGCTCTGTCTCTCAACTCTCTACCTGTCAGCTCTGCCCAAAGCTTCCTAACTATATACCCGTTACATGAGGTTTTACAGTACATTACTCAACACAGACTTCCGTTGCTCTGTTTTATTAGGAAAAATTCAAGACTTTCCCTAACAATTATGAATGCGCCTTGAGGTTGGACCATGAGCAATCATACTGTACATTCAGGGTTTTTAGTGTTTCTTCCATTTCTTTGTCACCATCACAAACTGAGAAGCCAAGGATGTGGAGACGTTTCTCATAAACCATACTTCTATGTAACAGACATTAAGGAAGGAAGGAAATAAAAATAACCCAGGTGTCTATGCCTTGTCTTTTTTCTTGGGAATTTTTCCCTCAGAATTTTAGTATGACGTTAAATTACGGTGTCACTTTCTGGAAACACTAAACTGGAATTCAGCATCCTCGTGTTCTCTAATATTTCAGGAATGCTTCAGAAGGATCAGGGTCTAATGTGGTTGTTGGCAAACACAATCCATAGAAAGTTGGTTGGAAAAGTAACGTTAGGTCTTACATAATCATGACTGTTTGAACTCAGACGAGTTCCCTTTGAATAGCTATCTTTAGTCTTCTTGTAGACAATGTAAAATGTGATTTTATACTTTCTCTTGGCTCTGGTTGCCTAAAGCTCAGGCCCTGCTCTAATCCTCAGACACTGAGCATCTCTATATGACAGCCACCGTATTAGGTGTTTAGGGAATAAAAGCTAATGAAATATAATTCTAGCCTATGAGAACCTGCTAGCTTAGTTAATATGACTTAAACTAAAATTATTTTATGATGTTTATAGTAATGCTCTATTATTGCCGCTTGGAGTAATTTTATCTATCCATGTTAACTTGTTAGTTTATTTCTTAAATGTGTTCTTCATATCTTCTCCTAAGGCAGGTATACTGTTAATTCATTATTAAATTAATTAGTTACACAAGTATTTTATACCGCTGTGAAGTGTTCTTTCTGTCTTTTACATGGAACCAAACAAGCTTTAGGTAAATACTTAGCTCTCCTGAGACTAAATGTATGACATGTCCCATTGAGCCAAAGTCCACTGGGTGTAAATAAGGCTCATTTTAACATTACAAGAGCCAATGGTGGGTATCTTTTTCTGGGGGGCAGGGGAAGAGCAGATGGCAAAATGTAAGGGATGCCAGGTCTACTGAAATTACCAAATATTGAAACTGATTGTGAAAGAACTATAAGGCCTCTAAAAAGAACTGAGAAGAAAAAAGAAGCTATTTGGCAGTATCCCCATAAAGTGTTGATTGATTTTTTCTCTCTCTTACCTCTTGAAGTCAATAGGTGTTATATTGTTATCTATCATTTTGTTGAATGAACATCACCATTCAAAAACCCATTAAAGACTCCAGACTTAATTTTTAGACATGTAACTAGTAGTCCAAAACAAATTAATTACTTTGGTTGCTTTACCCGTGGCAAGTGTGATACAAAACCCATTAATAGAGGTTTAAACTGGAAAGTCACTATCAAAATCTAAACTTCGTAATTTTGTATCTAGTTTTGCTTTTGCATTTTTATGTTCTCCCATTTTTTTCTTTTCTTATTTTAATTTGAACAGACTGCTATTTAATCCATTAATATCTACTTTGATGAAATGTCAGTAAAATAGGTTACACTGAATCTTTTTCTTCATGTTATATCTTACAAAACTTTGAAAATTCTTTTAAACAATTTACATATTTTTGTGGAAAATTACAATTTTTTATGATTCTGGTATATTTTATACAGATAGGAATTTTTCTAGGCTTTTCTGACTCAGTATGAAATTAATAGTAATGTTGGTGCTCCACCTGGTGTTGAAAAATAAGTATTTTATTTTTTATGTATTTTTAAAATATATATGTTTTATTGATTTCAGAGAGAAGAAGGGAGAGGGAGAGATAGAAACATTGATGAGAGAGAAACCTCGATGGGCTGCCTCTAGCACATCCCCTGTTGGGGATCGAGCCCACAATTTTTTTTAATTCTAAAAAACTGGGAGCTAGAACTTTATGTACTAATTTTTAAAGTGTGTAAAAGTGTCTAACAGGGTACCCAGTACAGATATTCTGAACATAAGTTGAATATTAGTCTGTAAAATACTGTACTTAATTCCATCATGGATTAAAATGTGGTTACTTATACATATAATCATTTTACAGGTCATTTTTAGTTTAATGATTTATTCTAATTGAGTAAATAGTCCATCTATGCTTATATTTATATTATTTTATACATATTTTATATTTACTTATGTTAGGAAACATAACCTTAACTTTCTATAAATATTTAACTATCTGTCTTTCTTCTATCACCTATCATCTATGTATCTTTTTTTAAAATCTATCTTATATCCTGCATTCTGTTGTATTAATACCAATTAATTCCATGAATATTCCCACCGTCACATTGATATTAGGCTCACTTTGATGCTGTTAACATGTGAAATATTTCCTCACGGTAATTTTAATTTAGAACGCTTTACTATTTATAATACCTAATTAAAATTCTAGGGAAGGATCTATTACTACTAATTATAATCTTTAACTTGACAGAACATTGCCTTTTTGATTTTTTACAAGTATGTTTTAAACATTACTTATTTTCTATAGACCGTATTTTTCTGGCCTGGTAATCTTCCTACATACTTGACTAACTCCACTGTCAACACAATTTAAATCTGTCCCATCAGGCATCTTCCATCTGAAAGTTCCCGAATCTTCTCCTATTGGCTCAGCTATTGGAAGAATAAGAGCTGTGGATCCCGATTTTGGACAGAACGCAGAAATTGAATACAACATTGTTCCAGGAGATGGGGGGAATTTGTTTGACATCGTCACAGATGAAGATACGCAAGAAGGAGTCATCAAGTTGAAGAAGGTACGTAGACAAGTTCTTAGATAGCTGACTACCCAGTAATGACTAAAGAACAGAAAGACTAAAACATATGAAGGACGGCAATCTTAATTTTCCTTAAGTTAGCAATATTTCAAATAAAACAAGACCAGTTTACTATAAAGTATTCACTCCTACTGGCACTTTTATTCTGTAATTCAATAGGTATGTATTTGTTGAAACAACTAGACCCATTAGTTTGATTAAAGCATTAAAAATTCTTACCAGAGTTTAATTCACTTTTAATTCTTTATTGTTACAAATGTAGGTGAAAACATTAATTTAAAAATAAGATATAGAAGTAAACTTCTTTAACCCCATCAGGCCTGGTCTTGCCCCTTTTATGACTTTTCTGGGAATATAAATATCTAACTCACACCGTAGGTGAGCGTTGACACCCCAGTGGAGGAATCCTGATTTGGGCAAGCTCTACTACCAGGGGTGTGAAAGAAATGAGAACCATAAACAAAGTCAAAAGCACAGTCAGCAGCCTTAAATTCGAGTTTGAGAAACAAAGCAGAGTAGAGAGAGAGCAGGCCAAGTAGAGGGTGGTGGCCGCCTCATAACGTGGTGGTCAGGAAAGGCTTCTCTGTTGGGGTGAAACTGAAGCAGAGACACACAGCAAGCACGAGATGAGCCATGTGGTGTCTGAATGACGTGTGCCCCAGAAAGATTGAGCAGAAATTGCAAAATCTCTGAGGTGGGAGCATCCTGGGCAAGGAGGCCGTGGGGCTGGGCGCAGTGAGTGAAGGTGTCCACAGCTGGAGATGAGGTCAGAGATACAGAGGAAGGGCCCACCGTGGAGATCCTTGGAGTACAAGCCAAGGACTGGAGATGGATCGTGACTCGGGAAGCCCACCTGGGCTTTAGTTATAAATGACGTTTACCCTGAGAAACCAGGGTACTCTGGCTGCTCTGAGGAGAACAATGACTAAGAACTGAGAATAGAAATGGACTAGTTAAGAGACCACAGGAATAATAGAGGACACCAGGGATGGAGATATGGAGCATAGTCTTTGTAGCAGTGGGGTTGTGAGAAATTGTGAAATCCTGCCTGGGTTTTAAAGGGACAGCCAAAACAGATTTTTATAAATATTCTGATCATCCGATAAATTACACCAAGTATTTGAATAGATTTGGTTTTAGTGTTGTAATTTCTTTTCATCTTTAAATAAGGAAAGACCACAGGCAACCCTTACCTGCTGACCTATTGTTCTGTTGGAAAAGAAAATTGCAATCTACAGACTATATCAAATATTTTAAAAAATAACTCAGGCCCTGGCTGGTGTAGCTCAGTTGTTGGAGCCCCATCCTTTGCATGGAAAGGTTGCCGGCTCAATTCCCAGTCAGTGCACATACCCAGGTTGTGGGTTCGATCCTGTCACATACAGGAGACATCCAATCAATGTTTCTCGCTCTCTCCCTCTCCTTTCCTCTGTCTCTAAAATCAATGAAAACATATTTTAAAATGTAACCCAGGAGTACATTTTTATAACAGAATTTTTAATTGCCTATTATCTATCAACTGACTGGTCTACCTACATAGCTGGTGAGCATATTGTAGTGAGTGCATGTGTGGTGTGCACACATATACAGGTATATACATACATATATGTGCGTATATATATATACAGATATATATATGTCTTGATTAAACATGGCAGTATGATTTCATTAAAATAAAATAATGAGAAAATAGTCAATTGAATAAAGTTTAGTAAAAACTCAAAATTAATGTACACAACTGCACTTGTTTTATTGATGTGCAGTTGAGATAAAGCACTGTTTTAATTTCAGGTGCACAACATAATGATTTCACATCTGTATATATCGTGAAATGATCACTACAATAAGTCCAGTTAACACCCATCCCCATACAGATATTTTTCTTGTGATGAGAACTTTCAAGATTTACCCTCTTAGCAACCTTCAAATACGAGCTTGCTGTTTTGTCTGAGATTGCACGTGTTCAGAATTCCATGGTGTGCTTGTCTTCCCTGCCCGGTGTCGTTCGCCTACTGTCGTCCCGGGAGTGCCATCCAGGTTGTCACAAATAGCAAGATTTCGTTACGTTCCCCCTCATCCTTGCCAACCCTTCTTTTTTTTGTCTTTTTGATAATAGCCTTTCTAACAGGTACGAGGTGATACCTCCTTGTGGTTTTGATTTGCATTTCCCTGATGCCTAATTATGTTCAACATCCTTTCATGTACTTGTTCCTTGGAAGTTGTTTAAACAGTGTTTTTTTTCCCAAGTGAAGACTGTATGATACAAGTCTTTAGGCACATATCCAGTAACTTCTGGGAAAACTTTATCTTGAACTGATCATTAAGTGTCCTAGAAGAACTGGATTTGTAATAATAAATTTCTATATAAACATCAACAGAGGTGTTTTAGTTTCACAGTGACCTCAAAATCACTTTTTTGAAATGTGCCCTTCAATATCGAAACATGTCATCGCAATGAACTTGATGTAAAAGCCATATTCATATAGGAATTATACTCAAAGTATACCAAATACATTTAGAAAGCCTAAAAATAAACATTCGAAAATGTAGGTTTTTTTTAAACATCAGTTATTTTATTTGTTTTGTTAACATTAGAGCATGGTATCCTTTGCTTTCAGAGAGCATTCCTTTTCTAACTCACTTAAAATAAGTTCAAATGTTGGAAGTTCTCTGAAGCATATATTCTCATTACTCTTTTATCTCCATTATTTTTACTTGCTTTCCCATTGCTATTTCCCCCCTCCCCTCTTTCTCTATAGAGGGAGGGTCTAAGAAGATAAGTGATGGCCAGGCTTATATGAGCTGAGAAAAATAAAATAAGGCAATTTTTTAAATTTTATTTTTTAACCAGAACTTGGATTCAGTTTATGAGCACTGTGACAAAATGCCATTTCACTGTGTCACTTTGAATTCAGAATAACATTATGAAACTACAAATCCCTCCCAGGCACAAGATATTGGTAAGATGGCTACATGTAAAATGAAAGGAAGAAGTGTTTTAAATTCAGCAGTTTTATTAAGTAAAGAGCTAAAGTTATTAGGTTTCTAGCCAGTATCTTTTCCTACTGGATTAATGAGAATAAATATATACTTATTGAATATAAAATAAATATGAAGTTACATGAGTTAAAAATGTTCAAATACTGAAGTACATAAATATTTATAGAAGCAGTGTGGTTTTCTTGTTACCGATTAAGAAATTTGGGCAATTAAATAGTGGGATGATACTTAAATTATGTAAAAGGACAAATTAATATCTTATATAATGTCTCAAACAGTTCCGTATCATTTCTACAAAAATATCTATTGGGAACTAAATGATATTATGTTTAAAATAAAAAATGCTGAAATTGCTTCCTATATATTTAAAAATCAGTAAAAGGTTTTTGGAATTTAAAAAAATCCTTATTAGCTTGATGTTACTTGGCATTGTTATTTCATTTCAAAGAAACATAGCAGTGATCGCACTGAATCCGAAACATTTTTTTCTTAAAAATATAAGAGATAAAATACTTTATCTCCACCAGGACTCTTTAATAAATAGGCTAAGCTCTCAGCTGGTCCCATTGGACATTTATATTTTACTTATGCCGTTAGTCACTAAAACCTCTTTTCTTCTTTTAGCCTTAAAAGGAAAGGCAAGGAGGTGAGTTCACATGATTTGGTAGCAGAGCACCATCATGTGGTCACTTTTTGAATAACTCATTTAAAATGAGAAAAAATGTTCTTCATTTAGAAGAAAGGTCCAGTGAGTCGCAGTGCATCCAGATATGCCCTCCCTGGTCTCTTGTTTTTAGCCAGTCCAATATGTATAATTTCAAAGAAAAATAAGCTGTGTTTGTTATTTGTTTCTACAAATAATATGTCCTTGTTTTTGTAAAGATTTGCCCTCATCTTTTTTTTAAAAAGTCTAACTAACTTACTCATACATGCTCTGCTCATGTCTCTGCCCACCCCCCCCTTTGGAGCAAGGAGTTACTCAACTAAATGCCCTTTAGTCGATCATTTTCTAACTTTTCTAAAAAGGGTCATCAGATTGAGTGGGTACTAAGCTGCGCCACAAAGGCATTTTATTGTGCAAGGGTAAATTAGCTTACCTTTACAATGATCGATTTTTATCATAGAATATGGGTTTTTTTTCCTAACAAAAATAATCCTGTCTGTTCTATATTTATTTGAAATATTAGAGTTTTTGTTGATTGTGAAGTAGATGAATTTCATTCCTTGACACCACCCCATCCCTCCCTCCACAAAAAGTGGAGGGTAGTCAGTCACATGGGTTGGATAAAGTCACTAGAGAGAAATCAGTATTGTTTATCTTTGCTCTTTCTGAGCTACTCAGTTTTAAAAAGTGGCATTGCCTAAGGGGCAGGGCCATGAAGAAATAAGACCATCTAGGTTATTACTGTAGCATTTCTCTTACAGTTTTTTCTAGTTCTTTGATCACTGCAGGATATCAGTTTCAGTTGCAAAAAAAGCCCCTGTATGTACAGAAAGGCTCTTTCATCTCACTCTACATCTCCCCAACCACCAAATGTTTGCCTGCTGTGATTTTAAGGTAATCAGACATAGCCTATCTTAAAAGGCATAGGCTATGTCTGATTTCCTTTAAAAAATTTAGGATCGAAATGGACCTTAAAGTGGAGAGTGAAATACGTCATATAGCTGTGGAATTTTAATCAAATAGGTAAATAAAATTGAAGCCTTATCTGGAAAAATCTGCCTAATCATATAGATAACCAGAGGTATTTCTATCTCTAGGGGACAGTAGAGAGGGAAATGAGGAACAATTGGTACTAACTCCTACATCCTAGGATAAAAGTTAATTCTGGGCCAAAAAGGGGAATAACTATGAGCCAGGGCAGCTCAAAAACTTTTCTGGGCAAAAGGACTCAAGGTGATAAATTCAAAATAGTCTTAAGCCAGAAGTTAGGGATCACTATGATTGAAAATCATGTTGTGTAACATTCACAGGGCAAACAGAGTTTACAAAAATAGAAAATATATTTTTCTATGTTCTTTAATTTGGATTAGCTAGTGCAGACCTCTACCTTGTACATCCATCTGTCTCAGACATCTCTTAAGGCATCAGATTTCCCTCGAACTCTTCAAGGGATGGGGAACTTAGTACCTCTTCTAACAGCTCACTCCTTAAACAAGATGACCTGTCTCCCACTGTTCTCCGTTTGTTGAGAAGAGAGAGAGCAAACCTTAATTTTCGTCGTTTCTTTCTATCCTGCGGATGTATCTCAGGCCTCACCACCACATAGGCCAGCAAAAGTTTTAAAATTAACTCAGTTTTGAATGGCTTAATTTGTTACAGATTTCTTACTTTTTTTAATCTACAGTTACCATTTTAAGAATTTAAATTATTAATTTTTAAAAACATATATCTTTATTGATTTCAGAAAGAGGAAGGGAGAGGGAAAGAGAGAGAAACATCAATGATGAGAGAGTCATTGATCGGCTGCCTCCTGCATTCCCCCGACTGGGGATCGAGCCCTCAACCCGGGCATGTTCCCTGACCGGGAATCGAACCCCAATCGCCTGGATCCTAGGTCTGTGCTCAACCACTGAGCCACGCCCGGCCGGGCTATTATTAATTCTATAAGAGATTAACAGAATAAGCCTAACTGGTGATTAACATGGTAGCCTTTCAATATTTGAAAACGTGTATCCTCTTGCTTTGATCTTCCTTCTGGCCCAACATTTCCAGTCTCCGTGTTGCAGTTTCATGTTTTCCTCTTGAATAATGTTTTGCTGTCCTATTATGCAAATAGGTTGTCTTTTCATGGGTTTGATACCTTTTAACAAAACAAGGTGTTGGCCAATCAAACCTAAGGCATTGTAGGATTATCTCCCCTCTTTTTTAAGACACTGTATTCCTATTCACATAATCAATAATATACTATCAACTGTGGCATGTTAGCGTGCCATCCTTTACTTTTATTGGCTAAAAGATGAATCTAAATTCCTATCAGGAAAAAGATGGAAATGGAAGAAAATCAATATTCTATGTAAATAGCTATGAGGTGAGCAACTAAAAATATAAAAAAGGAAAAGAAAGCATTAAAGACAAAGCAGATGAAAACATGAGTAAAAACTGGACAAATTATATAAAAGGAAGGGAATAATTACAGGGAAAAGAGATCCGTCTGAATGAAAACTACTGTGAAAAAGATTTTATGTCAAGTCCAAGAGGTATTACTGTTTGCTATACCAAGCTCCATGGAACTGTGATTGTTTTTGAAGATTTCACAGTAATTTTTAGATTCCCTTCTTCCATCAACAGAGAAAACACAGAAAACAACAACGTTGTCCTTGAAAGAGAGAAATATACCTCTTTATTTCCCCCAGGCGAACTGAGGTAAAAAACAGATGGGTCCACACAGCAATTAGCAAGTGTGGCAAGTCCTGGGAGTCACACTAGAGGGAATTAATTTAGAAAGCAGAAAGTGTTAAAGGCCCCAGTAAATCTTTCTGTTAATTTCATGTTGCCTTAATTTTTCGTAGGTGGTTAGAAGTCAGAGTCCTTAACCTTAAAGTTTTCATTTATATAAAAACATCACAGCAACACCATAGTTCTAGAATATAATACTTTCGGTTATTGGGAACATAAAACTAATATTCAGGAAAAAAGTGAATATAAGCAGTAGTAAAGTTAAAACACAATTGGTGACAGGGGACTTTCAAATACTACATTTCAGTTTTCTTTAATTTTATTGCATATGTTCAAAAACTTAATTACTGGTCAGATAGCCTCACGATGCCTCATAATTCTAGTGCCTGACATTTACATAGCGCTGCGAAAACAAAAGACTAAAGCTTTTCACAATTAACACTGTGCGAGTTGTGTAAATCCTGATACAGTCCTTTTTTTAGCGAAAAGACAGAGACATGTAAAAGGGTTTAATATAAAATCATAGTATCGTCAAAACAAGAAAAGTAGTCCAAGAAAGAAAAAAAAAAAAAAACCACACATTTTGTATAGCCATTATTTTTAGGTGGCATGTAAAGACGATCCTCAGCTTTCCCTGTTCGAGGTTACGTTTTCATCACTGCTGGATCCACTAGATGTCAGCATCGCTGCTGAATCCACTAGATGTCAGCATCGCTGCTAATTCCACTAGATGTCAGCATCGCGTAAGGGCAGAGAACGTTTCCCCTGAAAAGTTGCTCTTAAACCCGCGCGTGTTAAATCAGGAAGCCCTGCCCAGCACCCACGGGCCCATCTGTGTCACTTTAATGTATGCAACACGTTATGTTAAGCTACCCAGAACCTTCGGCAAGTGGGTGATTTTTTTGAAAGCACCCCCTTGCCTGGTAAGTGAAGGGCCCCGCGGCGCAGAAGCCAGGGGTGCACCCGCTAGGCCCACAGCGAGCGCCCTGCGCCCTGCGCCCTG